TGCTACCAGAGCTCCCATATATATAGTTAGTATATATATAAATATATGTGTTTGTATACACACATGCATATATATTTATGTGTATGTGTATACATGTATGTATGTTCTAGAATTCCCATTCTTTGCAATGTTTTCTTTGTAGGTTACCAGGGATGGGAGGGAAGGAGAGGGGAAAATCTCAGACTAGTTGGGTGCCACATGCTGAGTTGGATATGGGGAGAGACCATATAGCAAGAGTCGTGACCAGCATGATAACATTGGGAAAGGGGAGAAGACCCAATTGTGCGTATAAGATATAGACGACAGAGGCTAATGCCAGTACATCCACAATACTACATTACCACTAACACCAAACACCTGGCTACAGATGAATACATAGAAAACTGAGAAGATCTGAGGGGGGTCAGTGAGCAGGAATATACTCTAGATTGGTCTAGAGTCAAATACTTTGCGCAGTCAATAAAACACAAAAAAAAAACTCTCTGCCATCGAGTTGATTTCAACTCATAGCAACCCCTCCTTGGGTTTCTGAGGTGGTATCTCTATGGAAGTAGATTGCCCAGTCTTCCTTCCAAGGAGTGGCTGGTGGGTTTGAACCGCCAGCCTTCTGGTTAGTTGTTAAATGCCTTAGGCACTACAAGCAGAGGAGATCAGAAAAATACTTACCTGTGTTTTATTTTAAAAGCTATATATATATATTTTTCAATAAAACACAGGTATTTTTCTGATCTCTTATGCTTTCAGCCCAAATCCATCTGACATCACCAATGATATCTCTTATTCCAAGTCCTCTTCTGAATCCAGCTTGAATTTCTGCATTCCAGAACACTTAAGTGTGCTCATGTGGGAACTTGTACATAGAGCAAGAGGCAGCCATTTGAACAGAACAAGGGAAAACTGTGTGATTTAATATAAGGAAAGGTGTGTGTTAGGGTTATATCCTTTCACCATACTTATTCAGTCTGTGTGCTGAGCAAATAGTCCAAGAAGCTGTACTATATGAGGAAAAATGCAGCATCAGGATTTGAGGAAGACTTATTAACAACCTGTGATAATGTAGATGACACAGCCTTGCTTGCTAAAATCTAAGAGAATTTAATGAAGATCAAAGACCACAACTTTCAGTATGGATTACACCTCAGCATAAAGAAAACAAAGTGCTCATGACTGAATCAATAAGCAACATCATGATAAATGGAGAAAAGATGGACGTTGTGAAGGATTTAATTTTACTTCGATCTACAATCAATGCCCATGGAAACAGCAGTCGAAAAAATCAAATAATGTCTTGCATTGGACAAATCTGCTGCAAGACTTCTCTTTAAAGTATTAAAGAGCAAAGATGTCACTTTGAAGACTAGGATGTGCCTAACCTAAGCTATGGTATTTTTAGTCGCTTCATCTGTATGCAAAAGCTGGATAATGAATAAGGAAGACTGAAGAAGAGTTGATGCATTGGAATTGTGGTGTTGGCAAAGAGTATTGAATATACCGTGAACTGTCAGAAGAATAAACAAACCTGTTTTGGTAGAAGTATAACCAGGATGCCTCTTAGAAGTGAAGATGGTGAGACTTTGTCTCTTGTGCTTTGGTCAAGTTATCAGGTGGGACCAGTTCTAGAGAAAGACATCATGCTTGGTAAAGTAGAAGGTCAGCAAAAAAGAGGAAGACTCTGAACGAGGTGGATTGACATAGTGGATGCAACAATGGGCTTAAACATAGGAATGATTATAAGGATGGTGCAAGATTGGGCATTGTTTCATTCTGTTGTACATAGGGTCATTATGAATAGGAACAAACTCCACAACACCTAACAATAACAGTACAACTTCCTGCATTACATATGTTACTCTTTTTTCAACTGTTTAAATCACAAAGAAATTTAAATCACTCATAGTTTCTATTAAGAAATCTGGCATGTGCATTATAACCTTTTTATAAAGAGAGTTGTTACTGAGCAGGAGCAGGAAACACCTGCAGTCATCTGGAACAGCTAGTTAACTTCAGCCCTACAACTGATTTGCTAATGTAGTGGTTCCCAAATTTTGTTGCAGATTAGAATCATCTAGAGAGTTTTAAAAATCTCGTGCCCAAGTTGTACCCCATACCAATTAAATCAGACTATCTACAGGTGGGAGCTGGGCATTTGTATTTTTTTTTTTTAAGAGTTCCCCAGTTTATTTCAATGTGCAACAAAATTGGGAACCACTGCTCCAGTGTGCTAAAAGATAAATGTAACTGACATTGTGAGAGTTTAGAAGGGTTTTTATTCTGTTAACAGCTGCAACTCTGCAACTCTGTTCTTTTTTCTCCTTTGGATCTCAATTACAGTATCTGTAGTATTGCTTAAGGCCAAAGATGAAAGACTTCTCTTCCCCATTCCTCAAAACTGCAACTGTGAATCCCCACTATTCTCTTCTTTCCTTTGAATCATAAGCCCAAAGTCAGCTGACATTTTCTATAAAGGGCCAGATAGTAAACAATTTGTTTTGCAGGTCATTCAGTCTTATGTCACAACTATTTAACTCTGCTGTCACAAACAAAATGAATGGGCATGACTGTGTTCCAAAAAAAATTTTATTTGCAAAAACAGAGTGCAGGCAAGATTTGACTCTAGGACTTACGTTTTAGCAGACTCTTGTCACAAGCATTCAGAAGTCTGTTTTCAAGTGTTTCAGTCCAGAAACAGTTACAGGACAGAAGCCAACTTCTGGCTCCACAGCCCAGTTTGTCTACATCCCTGAGTTGTCTTGGAGAATCAGGGTCACACTTCTTAAGCACAGGGTCTAGTCCTTGTTTAACCTCTGGGCCTTATCAACTGTGTCTCCTCCCCTCTATCTCTAGGTAACTTGCATAAGAAGGGATCAGCTTTTTTCTATGCCATAATCTAATACAAAGAATCTTAATAGGCAAAAATAAATAAAATTGAAAACAGAAGAATAGAGGGAATCAGAAGTTGGTTCTTAGAAAAGATCAATAAAATTGGCAAAATTTTAGCTAGGCTGACAAAGAAAAGAAGAGAAAAGATGCAAATAACTAAAATAAAAAATGAAAAAGGCGACATTACAACTGACCCAATAGAAATAAAGAGAATTACGACAGATTATTATGAACAACTGTATGGCCACAAACTGAATAACCTAGATGAAATGGACAAATTCTTAGACACAAACCTACCCAAACTGACTCAGGAGGAAACAGAAAGTCTCAACAAACCTATACCAAGTGAAGAGATTGAATCACTGATCAAAAACCTCCCAACAAAAAACAGTCCTAGAACTGATGGCTTCACTGGGAAATTCTACCAAACATTTAGAGAAGAATTGACACTGATACTGTTTAAACTCTTCTAAAACATAGAGAAGGAAGGAATACATACTGATTCACTTTATGAAGTAAACACAACCAAAACCAGACAAAGATACCACAAAGAAAACAAAACTACAAGCCAGCATCTCTTATGCATATAGTTGCAAAAAACCTCAACAGAATACTAGTGAACAGAATCCAACAGCATATTAAGAGTCATACACCACGAGCAAGTGGTATTTATTCCAGGAATGTGGGAATGATACAACGTTGGAAAAACCAATCAACATTATGTACCACATCAATAGAATAAAGGAAAGGAACTACTTGATTATCTCTACGGATACAGAAAAAGCATTTGATAAAATCCAACATCCTTTCTTGATAAAAACACTAAGGAAGATTGGAGTAGAAGGGAAATTCCTTAGTATGATTCAGTGCGTATATGAAAAGCCAACAACCAACAATATACTTAAAGACTGAGAGCTTTCCACTTGAAATCAGGAAGACTCCTTTTGTTAATTGTGAAAACATTTTTTTTTTAATGCCATGATCTGGAATTTCATTAGTGTATGTTAAAAATGGAAAGCAGGTTTTGCAGAACTCAATTTTGCTGGCAAGAATGAAGAAAGAGATAAATAGAATTTTATTTAATAACAGTAAAGTAACGTTATAGTGCATCTAACAGTCTTCCACATCTACATTAAGCATTTCCTTTTACTGATTGAAAAATAAGTTTATAACCTAATTTAGTAATTTGTTTTAAGCTAGAAAAATGTATTGTGCTTATAATAAAATACAACCTCTGCAATTGATTACGATATTTTCTTTAAAGTTTGATACAGTGTTGTTATCTTTGTGTTTAGGAGGCAGATACGGAGCCCTTATTGTGACACACTCAGAAGTAACCCATTGCAGCTAACTTGCAGACAGGATCAGAGAGCAGTTGCAGTGTGTAATTTACAGAAGTTTCCAAAACCTTTACCACAAGAATACCAGGTAACACATTTTGGGGGCAAAATAATTAATTAATTAATATAAAGAATATTTTCTTGTATTTTTGGTAGAAGTATTCGCTGTAACACAGGCTCCCATTCAACAATTGTTACATATATTGATCAGTATTATTGATTATATTCTTCATATTGTATCAACATTCTCATTACTTCTTTTGTTGTTCCATTTCTATTTCCCTACTCTCAGAGTGCCCCAACCTTCTTTCATTTATGCCTTAGGGTATTTGTTGATCATTTGGTCTGATATAGATGGTTTTTTTTTAAAAGAATGGGGAACAGTTTTAGATACCAACTTTCTGAAAAGTATTCTCTACTTTGAATTTGAAGAGTGAATTCTCTTAAGTTTAAGTCCTCAATTATTTTCCAATTAGAAAAAAGAAAGAATTCTCAATTCCTTTATAATTGAAGATATAGATAGCAGTTAGTTGATATCTAACAATGATTTGTAATGCCTAATGGCAGGTGAAATTTAGGATATTTGTTTTGACCTATTTTTAAACTGTTTGCATTTTCTTTCTTACTGTATCCAAAGTCTTCATCTTTAAATTACTTTGATTTATACAAAAAACAAGGTTTTTAAAAAAGAAAATAATTTAGAAATACTAATCCAATCAACTTAGAAGGTTTGATACGTCTGTTTTGGAAAAGATTTGACCCTTGGGATCTAAAAGATTAAAGAATTGGCCCAAAACGTTGAGGCTGAATCTTTAAGTTCTTGTTACCATGGCTGTCTCTAAAAGGCCAGCTGTTTACTAAGGACCCTTTAGTCAGAAATGATAGAAACTAATTTAATATGGTAGCTGCTGAATTTTGAATTTCCTACATTTATTTATGATCACGCTGAGTGCTTCAGACACATTAAGATGTTAACTATATTTCTAAGCATAGTAAAATAACTGAATAAGTTGGTTTAAAGGGTGAAATCTTTAAAATTTATTCTTTTGGTGTTCTGAGTACTTTATATGATCTCATGTCTTAGATTATTTTTCAAGTTTATCAAAACAACATATAAATCAAGTCTCCTAAAACACTTGAAGTACATTATATTTAAAATATCTTAATTAAATAATGAAGTAGTTTCTGAAAGTTAAAACAACCTCGAAATATCCCTTAGATAATATATTACTGTCTTCTTTGTGTTGTACTATAATGAAGAAAAGTATATTAATACCTTGTACAATGTTAGAACGTTACTATAAATTGCCTGTGGACTTTTTTTTTGAATATAGGAAATGTTTACTCTTCTGTCTTTCCAATTTTTTTTTTTTTTTTTAGTATTTTGATGAGCTCAGTGGAATACCTGCAGAAGATTTGCCTTATTATGGTGGTTCAGTAGAAATTGCTGACTACTGCCCTTTCAGTCAAGAATTCAGTTGGCATTTAAGTGGTGAATATCAGCGTAGCTCAGATTGTAGAATATTGGAAAATCAGCCAGGTTAGTCCTTTATTCACATATTAAAACTATAATATCAGCAATATGAAATGGTGGCTAAGGATCCTGGAGCCAGACTGAGTTTGTATTGCAGTTCCAGTGTTTTCCATGTGTGAAGGATTACTTAACTATTCTGTGGCTCAGTTTCCTCATTTGTAAAATGAGGATAATAATTCTTAGTGCATAAGATTTGTTATAAGAATTAAATGAATTAATACAGTAAGTGATTAGAATTGTGCCCAATGTACAGAAAAGAGTGTTAGCTGTTAGATTCACATACACATGTGTACACACACACATTATATTTAGTACTACCTTACATAAGCATCACACTTTTCACTTGCAAAGGACTTTCATTTTCATCATTTCATTCATTTTTCTAAAAACCTTATGAATGACATGTTAGTATATTTCACAGATGAGCAAAGAGACACTAATGAATAATTAGTTCAAGAGCAGGATCCTCCAATGTAAGGCTCTTTATTAAAACACATTAGATGTCCTATTTCATCTTCGGATAACAAAATGATAATGTTGTCCTTTGATCAGTAAGATATATTGCCATATTCCTTATGCTCTTTTGATTTATACAGATAGATCACCAAAGGAATAAGCAGTATGGCAGTTGGATATTCAGTGGTAATAGTTTTAACTCATGCGAACCACTTTTGTAACAAATTTTCTCACATTCATTATGTTAGTGAAAAACAGTAAGTAGTCTCTTTGTCGTCATCAACATTTTGTAACCTGGTCTTTTCAGTTTCCTTATTTCAAACTTTATTACAGACCTGTATCATTTAATTTATAAATCTCTTTAATATTTTTTACCTCTTATCCTTAAACTTAGACAGTTTCATTGGATTTGTGCCATCATTTTTTCATTGCTCACCTATTTAATAAATATCTTGAAGTCTTGTGATATTCAGCAGTTCTAAGTTAAAGCAAAAGAAGTGTACAAATCTGACAGCAACAGATTAGCTGAAGATATAGGCTCACATTTTATTTAGAGATAGAGTCAATGAACTTTTTCTGTGAAGGGCCAGATAGTAAATGTTTTAGCCTTTTGGGGTATATGGTCTCTGTTGCACATACTCAGTTCTGCTGTTGTATGAAAGCAGCTATAGACAATATGGAAATGAATGGATGTGGCTGTGTTCCATAAAACTACAAAAACAGGTAGCACACAGGATTTGGTCTGAGGACTATAGTTTGTTGACTCCTGTTTTAGAGATTGATCACTATGTTTCTTGAAGACCTTGAAATATTCATAAGGAACTCTGGTGGCATAGTGGTTGAAGCATTTGGCTGCTAACCAGAAGGTCAGTGGTTTGAACCCACCAGCCACTCCATGAAAAAGATGAGGCAGTCTGCTTCTGTAAAGTTACATTCTTGGAAGCTCTATGGGGCAGTTCTCTGTCCTATAGGGTTACTGTGAGTTGGAATCAACTTGATGGCAGTGGATTTGGATTTGGGTTTGAAATATTCATAAATAAAAGAAATAGAGTTCTACTTTATGTTTTATATTTTCTTTCTTAGCTATGCAATTAACATTTTGAAAACTGATATAAAATACTTACCTTTATAACATGTTTTAATGAGCTATGAATGCTTTACTTTGAAGAGATGAAATTTAACTTTTGTAAAAGGCTAAAAAGATCAAATTATTGCTAGGGATTTAGAGCTTCATCCCTCTGTCATTATGAATTTGGAGTTCATTTATTCTACCCCATGCCTCTGCAGGTTTGTGCTTAGTCTGAGGCTAGTGTTCAGCATGTTATTTATGGACATCAGCAGGTGGCACAAGTTAAAGATCCTAGTAAAATTCTGCAAAGGATGCAGCATTCCAAAAAACCCTCATCTTGTAGATCGTTCGGTCTTGTCCTATCATGGGTCTCTGGGTAGGTGATTCCTGTGTAGACCACCCATGAAAGTTTTCTTTTGGTATCTAAGCATCTAGTGATTTTTAGAGCCAGTTCTCCTGTATATCTTAATTAGATCTGTTGTATTTGATAGATTAATTTCCTCTCACTAATTCCTTTATTGAGAATCCCACTTGAATTTGGAACCCTGTATTTCTCTTGATTTTTTTTTTTAGTTATCTTTTATTAAACATGTTTGATTTTTAAAGTAAGTTTAAATCATAACAATGGAATGATTCAATTACCAAGTCAAATTTTTTAAAAAAGACTCTTCTGGTTTGCTTCAGATCTTTTTAAAAACTATGGTGCTGAAAAGTATGGACCTCATTCAGTTTGTTTAATTCAGAAATCAGCATTTGTCATGGAAAAGTGTGAAAGAAAGCTGAGTTACCCAGACTGGGGTAGTGGATGTTACCAGGTAAACTATATGATTGTTAATAATTATATCAAATATTATATGATTTATATTGTTACACAGTTTTTGTATTTTAATACATTTTATATATATATTATATAGTTAAATTAGGAGCTCTTGTGGCATAGTGCCTAAGGCATTTGACTGCTAACCAGCAGGCTGATGGTTCAAACCCACCACTCACTGCTTGGAAAGAAGGTTAGGCAATCCACTTCTGTAGTGATATTGCCCCGGAAACCCAAGGAGGGGTCGCTATGAGTCAGATCTGACTCGATAGCAGTGCATTGCATTGCATTGCATATAGTTAAATTAGTTTATTGATTAATACTGTAACTTACCATGTTTATTTAGTGCCTAAGGCACTTGACTGCTAACCAGAATGCTGGCGGTTCAAACTCACCAGCCACTCCTCGGAAGGAAGATGGGGCAATCTACTTCCATAGTGATACTGCCTTGGAAACCCAAGGAGGGGTTGCTATGAG